ACAGTTTGCTCAGATAACATGGGTTTAATCAAGGAGACGACCAGTGTAGGGAAGGCCTGATATCTGCAAGATGGGAATCAGCATTTAAGCGCTCCACTCAGTGTATGTGTTTCTAGGGCCTTGACAAATAGCGCCAGGAGTCAAATGCACACAGGGACTGGATCCGAGTGAAATGTATCAACCAGAAAGATAAGGAACGAATCCACGAGACAATGAAGGGATCCGGATTGGAGCCCCAAGTCGGATCAGCCCATTGAAAGAGACGGATCGGGGTAAATAGCAAGTTTGAGGAGGCCACACTTAGTTTGCCACAAAAGGGCACACATTTTGACGATTGGAATGTAAACAAGTAATAAGTTGTTTTATTGCGCCATTGGGATAACAGTGTAAAGAGTATATAGATAGGCATGGAGAGAAAGAGGAGTGATAGTGTTAACGTTTTCGGCAGAACGGTTGTCGAGGGATTGACTTCACTTGTCTCTTCGACGAGCTCGTAGCTTGGTGCAGGAAATGTCAGCACTCACTGATGATGCCGACTACGATACCGGCGAAAGGTTTGATAATGTATCAAGTCCGCTGTCAGATGCTGGGAATCATGACAACTACTATGGCAGACGACCTTGGACTAGCTGCGCTCTACATAGTCTCCCTTTCAACAATACCAAATTGCGACAACGAAGTTAACCCACTTCTATAAATCGAAAGGAGACTGCGATCATAACAGAGGCCACAACATCTTGTTCTTCATATATTCTCACACTAAGTTTGTGTAATTATCAGATCATTATACAAAGGAGTGCTATTCTATGCAGCTTTTGGCAAAAAATAACCGCTAACGGATTCGCCAAGAAAGACCTCGCCGTTCTAATGAATTTTGAATCGTCTTGCGATCTGAAATGCTTTCCCATCTGGGGTGGATTGTATTTTCAACCTCGCATGAGTCTCCTCAGCACAATCAACTATATACGAAGCCTACGAATAAGTAGGCACTTGATAATAAAATGCTGGTGTCTACTCGAAAATAATCAAATTTCACTATATTCTATGCTTATTTGTCTGCTCCCAAATTAGCAGCCCTGGATGCTAATAACATTAAATCTTTTTTGTCAAAGACTTGAATCATTTAGATCAGTGATTCCCAAACTGTGTCCCCCGACGCACTGGGGAGCCGCGGCCTCTTTACAGGGGTTCCAAAAAATATGGTAAAAGCTCCAATGTGAGAAAATGGGCAGTGATTTGCAGGCTCATCCATCACATTAATTATTCAATTTTAATTTAATGTTGATAAAGTAAAAAAATTACGAAGATAGACGAGTTTTATTTATTTTTATCTCTTACGAATAGTCATACTTAGGGTAGGGCGTAATGGAAAAACTTTAATTGAAAAAGGGCGCCGCGACTAGGAAAAGTTTGGGAACCACTGATTTAGATATTTGATGATATAATTAAATATTAATTTAATAATAAATAAATGTTAATAATAGGAATTCAAACTTTATATAATTAACTTCCTCATCGAAGAGGTTTTGCGAAATCGCCTCTAAAAGTGAATGGAATTCATGACCCAACAGCCTACTATTGCCGACATTTTTGGAAATTTTTTGGCTAAATGTGATCAGCTGTTAGAGATACGTCAAGAACCGAAGCATTTTTGACCGCCGTTTGGCGAAGACTAATTTTCCGACAAGTCCAGTTAAAAATAAGAAAACATCATACTGATACCAAGTCCAATCTCTTCTTGTCAACAACCTCATTTTTTGCTCTATGGTGGGATTGATTTTCAAATCAAACTCTCGTATATCATACCTGTAATCTAAATTTAGCATGAGATTAGTCAAATTCATGATTGCATATGGATGCACGCGTATGCCGGTACATGAATCAACAATCAAGGAAGCAGAATATGTATTCAATTATACTGTGCTGCGAATTAAACATATTTGACTAGGATAGGCGAAAATCCGGCCCACAAAACCGGCATCTGGCTTGTGCAATCGCAGTAAATTTTTGTTCTTCTTTTTTGCCAGCTTTTGCTTGTAGAGTTTTGTGATAATATTTCCAAGGCGAGTGTAAAATACAGCAGAGAAGCAAGGGAGAGAAGTGAAACATAAGGCTAGAGGGCAACTGGCTATCGCTCGAGGACTACTTGAATAAGTTACTTTGGCAGGTCGTTGGCAAACTTGTTCACCACCTGAAGACTGAACAAACTTTCTGCTGGTGAACGGGGTGCCAAATACGGTGGAATCGGTGATATTATAAACTTTTGTGAGACAACTGCTGGAGCAACTTCCCTTCAGGATATGCGAGCCTGCATGGAGGTGTACAAATGCCAAATGGAATGGAAATCTGGGGCCAGACATTTGATAGCAAGCAAGACCGGAATGAATCATAGACGATCAGGCATTGAAGTGTACATTAAGACGTACAAAGCGCCAAAGGGTGGAGTGATATTAAAGGAATAAGAACACGAACCGAAGAACCAAGTGAGTTTGGATAGATCGGTCATTCTGATGACTAATATGATAGGCAAGTATTGGATGGGAAATTATTATGACTACGCAATCTCTATAAGAACTGTGCCACTTAGCGATGCCCCATACAATGATGATTGAATGCAGATGACTCGGCAAAATACAAATGAGTGCCTAGCATACGAAGAATAAAGCAAATATCATGCATAGATATATAAAATGCCCATGATGAGAGCAAGTTTTCAACCCTAATACAGGATCATCCTACATACATTATAGGCAATTTAAAATACTTCTCAAGGAAAGTTAGAAAAATCGTATTCTTTCTCATTTAATGGCAGCCATTAATGGCCCATTTTTTGAGGAATGCGCTGTTCATCGCATGAGACTGAAGAATTGATAGTGTCATTTAACTCGAATTGGCGAGCCGGTTTGATTTTTACATTTGATTCTAGTCTAGCTTTTATCCAAGTTGTGTCTTCTGTTGCAGGTTTGGTCGTACGCTGACTCATCACATTCTTTACCAGGATCCCTAGACAGATCCAACTCATAGTCGTGCTTACTGCAAAATAAACAGTTTACTATTCGTTAGTCTTTATAGTTAAAAGGCGAATGCAGAATTACTTTAACCTACAGTAGTTTGTCTACTGAATAGAAAGATGTATCAAGTTATGTAGAATTAAACCAATCAAGGATCCATTATTTGTTCAAGTAAGATCCATCTAAAAAACTCTTCCTAACATAATTTCACACGAAGTAAAAGTCAGCCTAACAAGGATACCTTAGATTTGCTCTATTGATAGATCATGTATGACTATAGAGGAAAAGCAGGCCACGGTTGACTTAAAATTATAGTGATTATCCTTATGTACAGGCAAAGTATTATTTGTCGTCGATTAGAATATTTTAACGTAATGGCACAAGTATTCTTATAGTGACAAGTATCAAGCAACGATAATTTTTTTCGTTGGCAAGATTTGAAATAATCGTAATAGTCAGCTGGTAGTCATCATAGTAAAAGTAGTACTATTATTATATCACCATAGATGTAATGGGAAATTGAAAATGAGCTTAAATTGACTTATACCGAACATTACTGTCTGAATGGGAACCGCCCTTTCAATGTCATGACATGATCATCCCAACTGATATTTGTGATGAGGATGCAAAGTTGCCAAATAAATTTAGATAAATGTCAGTGCGTGTTAAATCTCGTATCTCCTGTCAGTAGCAGTAAGCATTTTTGCCTGGGTAGATTGGTTGCAATACATTCGGGGAGTGTATTTAATACTTATGAGTAATTCTACTAATATTTTTGATAATGGACTTGGTAATGACTAACTTAGGATAAAAGATATATATATATATATATATATATATATATTCATGAAGTCAGTTTCCCTACATTATTCAGGACTGGGGTAACGTAAAACCATCGTCGTGGAAACTTAGGGCTTAAATATTTCCTAGAATTTAAGCTATTATCCCGATATACTCTAGTATTTAATAATCTGTTGATTTTAGAGGCTCAATATGCAAACAATAGAGAGCTTGGCTATGGGTGTAGACTACTTTTAAATACGAAATAAGTGTGCCTGGCGATGCTAACCCTCATTTATTAGGAGTTTCATTTCGTATGAAAGTGAATGAAGAAGAGGTTCGTTGGTCCTTCTCACCAGATGAGGACGGATAAATCTCGGTATATTGCAGCTTTTATACGATATCAATTTTGACGCAGTCAACTAGACTTCCTCTTCCGTTTCGGCTGAAAAAGTGCTGAGATTTCGCCCATCATATGATGGACATCATCAGAGCTGGGTGTCATTCTTCTAAAAGTCCCACGTTAACACTAAAGCAAGAACACTATCCGACTCTATCTTACTTCTTATGTAGACTTAATCGAGCCAAAAGAAAATTAAAAACCTAGATAGATTGATACAGAGTGGTTTGGCTAATTATCTTTCATATTGGTACCGTTACTTTTGTTTAAGTGTGTGCGTGTGTGTAGGTGTGAGTGTTAGTGACTATACCAATACCTGTCCTAAATTAGAGTTGTCAAAAGTTTAGTCTCAGGTTCCGATCATCAAGGCCTAAATGACCAAAGAGAAAGCCTTGACCGAGACTGTGTAAGTCCCTAAACAAGTATGGTTGAGATAATGAGCTTGTAAGCATCTAAATCAAGTTATGAACCCACTTTTCCTTACCTTTCAATATAGAGTCATTAATCTTTAACCCCCAAGGAAAGGCAAGACTGGGGTTGCGTAATATGACATGTCTGGTTTGGTTGATGAGCTTACTCTAACATGTTTGACGAATGTGAGTGAAGTAAGAACCATCACCGAGCAGACAAATTAAGTCGCCTTCTTTTGGACGGCTGCTCAACACCT